TTGTTGTATGTTTCCCAAAGTACGACAATGCTCAACGTGAAGATTCCCATTATAATGGTGGTTCACGTCGAAGGTGCTGTGCTGCTTGTCGCACGAAATAGTATATGAGCTTGTTTTCAGGCAGGATCATAGTACCCATAGACTTCAATGGGATTGCCTGAAAACACCTTACACAATCGTTTTTTACACTTAACATCTAGTCGTCTCCTTCTAGCAACCTCAGACCTGTGAACAAAATGAAGGATTTAGGAGTGTCCATGCTGGATGTGCAGACATTCATAGAAGGTGGGGAGGGCCCACAACAACCTCTACAACCTCAGTGATGCCAATTACAAGAACCATGGCAAGCAGCAGAGGGCCTGAGAAGATATTGGGTGTAAAGTTTTCCCAGATTGGGCGCTCTGATAGTACAAGACACAACAACAACAGAAACCAGAAAGCAGATACAAGGATGACAATGACATATAGGGGTTGATTTACTAACCTTATAAACACGCCACGAACAAGTATACACCTCTGTAGTGTGTTCCCTCCCAGCATGATGTATTGGTGGAATCTAGACACCTTTGTAGTGTGTACACACCCAGCAGGTGTGTTGTGCAAAGCCCTGCATGAATTGCAAGGTGATGTTGTGTAAATTAGCTCTACGTTGTGTTGCTTGCGTTGATGAATGCAGGAATGTAAATGCATGAGCTAACCATTTTTGTCTAAACTGTGAAGCAGCATTATATATGCATCATGTGCATGGTTTTCCATATATGGCATTAGTGGAAATATGCTTTTAGAGACTTGCATGCCGCTATTAGAGCGGCGTGTAGCCTATGGCGCATGCTACATGACGCGCACGTACGTAAATACATAAAAACGCGCCATAACGGCGTGAAAATGTGACACATTGCTCGTGTTTGGTTGATAAATAAGTTTTGCTGTGTAAAAATGCACACGCACCTGGTGCGTGTGTGTGTTTAGGTTAGTAAATCACCCCCATAATGTCACAGATGATACCGCTTTCCATTGGCCAATACAAAAACATCTGATGCTTGAAAACACATGAAAAACAATTAAAAAATGCATGCTCAGTTGTGAAAAAACGCACAATCACCTGACATTGTTCATTCTCAGGTGTGAATGGGGGCTAACTCACAGTAACAGTGTGCGGTTACAAATGTCATGAGTGGAAACCTTCCAGTTTTTAAGAGGTTCTTTACACTCTTGTTATATTTTCTAAAGCAGTGTAGTAGGAATTGCTTACACTTGGAACATAATAAAAGTAATCTGTTTCCCTTAAACAATGGAGATTTGTCTGTTTATAGTCATATAATCTTCTACTGCAATCCAATCCCCCAAATCTGTCATCATAAATACATTAAAGAGATTTTGCAGTGCTTGCTTCTTTTCAGGTGTCGATAAAATCTCTATGATCTGTACAGCTAGTCTTCTTCCTGAAAGCTATAATAACCCGCCATGGATTGCATATTAACAGAAAAAGGACAAGCCTGTTGTGTTGTATCTTTTCCATCAGCTCTTATAAAATCAGCTCGCTTGTTTATGAATTATTTGTTAATAAGTCTTCTTATATTTAAAGTAAATGTAAACCTCAACCGGATGGCATGTACCTTGCTAATAGACATGTGCAGCGGCTAAAACTTAATTTCGTTTCGTTTAGTTTCGGATTTCGTTTTTGGAATTTGGATCCTATATGTGTTTTGTTTCGGGAATCGGATTCGTATTTGGATCTGATTCGGAATATGGTTTCGGAATTCGGACGAATTCCAAAAAATTCAACTTGAGGTGGGGTAGCAGAATTGGCACATTTGTCATTTCTGGTTGCTGTGCTCTAGTCTTTACAATTAAAGGGACATTAAAATCCTTCTCTTAATTTGTTTTTATCCGTTTTAATGTTAACGAATGTTGGACGAAATTCGTTCCAAATCCGAAATTTTGGATTCGGATGCTTTCGGATATGTTATATTTCAGAAATTCGGATGCTCCGAATCTACAAATTTCCGAAATTTCGTTCTGAATTTCGATTCGGAACAAAACGAATCGCACATGTCTACTTGCTAATGCAAAGTGTATCATAAACAATTGATCTAGCTGCGAGGCATATTCCAGGGTGGGTTTTCTGATCATGGCAACAGTAGAGCATGCCTTTACAGAATGTGTGTTGAAACAGCTACTTGTAGTCTCCATCAGAAGCCTGTGTGATAGGGTGACAACACAGGAGAGCAATTGGGTGACAGGGCATTTTCCTCCTATAACAGGAAGTGCCTGAGCCAAATTTCCCAAAAGTCCTGGAATTTTATAAAAATGCTAGCTTTATTTGGATCTGGAACACTCATTCCTGCACCCAGCTTTGGCGTCGGGAAGAGTGACATCCTGGCTGACATTAACACTTCAGCTCCTGTAGAGAAAGGTAGTGGCACGGGACGCAGAGATTGGACAGGTAATTTGTGATTTGCATTAGTTGCATAGAGATCTATAATATAGCACAAAGAAACAAGGCCACACACACTTCCCACACCACATAGGAGCCATCCAGCCATTACTTAGAGGACTGCCCAGATCCAGCCCCATCACACAGGAGGTCACCCCCTAGGCAAGTTAGGAGTGGCTATGGAAATAGTGCTGACTGGGAGGTTTGGGCAGCAAATAGGCCTGGCATATGCAGTGTGTACTAGGCTAAAGCTGGTCATACACCTATAGATCTGTAGATCTATCTGCAGATTTTCTATGGTCAGATGGAGAAAAGTGCAACAGATTCCTCCATCTACGCTAAACTGTGAGGATAGAGGAATCTCCCACTGGGCCAAGCTTCAGTATCTTGCTAGTCGGCCCCGCTGGATGTCAAAATACCTGAACAAAGCTTGCATCCAATCAGATTGTTCAGGTATTTTGACATCCAGCGGGGCCGACTAGCAAGATACTGAAGCTTGGCCCAGTGGGAGATTCCTCTATCCTCACAGTTTAGCGTAGATGGAGGAATCTGTTGCACTTTTTTCCATCTGACTATAGAAAATCTGCAGAAAATCAATAGGTGTATGGCCAGCTTTAGAATATATTTAACCATGTTCCTTTAGCCACACCCACTTTTTGCCATGATGGGCTCCACCCGCTGCATCTTTTCTCCTTTCCAGGTTGTCCCTTTTTCTCAGCTATTAATGTAGGGAGGTATACCTGACCATTAATGTCAACAATGATTAAAATAATGAAACTGCAGATTAAAGGATAACTATGGGGTAAGGGCTTTTCCCCATAGTTCTCCTTAGGGTAACGGGAGGACACAAACTAGCGTCCTCCCGTCACCCTAGGTTCAGTATACTGCGAGCTGTAGCTCGCGGTATACTGAGACGCCGCAGCTGAAGCGGATCCCGACAATTGTGCCGGGATCCGCCCAGCTGCGTGACTGACAGCTGGCTCTGCCTATCTAGAGGCAGAGCCAGCTGTACCCGCCCCCTCCCCCGTCCGTTCCGCCCATTCAGCGCTGGCGGATCGGAGGGGGGAATCCAACCCCTCCGCTGTCACAGCAGAGAGCCGTGACAGGATTGAGAGGTGAGCGAACCCGGTATGTGTTCGCTCACCTCCCGATCTACTGAGCCGACCTGTGACAGTCTCATTGTCACAGGTCGGCTAGAACTATGAGGTGAGTGAAAAGCACTCACCTCAGTTCTCCTTTAAGAAGACTGAAATGACTTTGGAATTTACATTAACATGGTAACTCATATGTGAGATTTTAGTGATTTAACATTTCAGTGTGATGCTTGGGCAAATTTAGCGCCATTGCAAGATCTTTTCCCATTATTCTCAGTGAGGAATCTCTTGTCTATGACAAACCTTAGGGCTTGTACGGAGAAGGCTTCAGACTCAGCCAGTCACATTAAGTGTTCTCCCAGGTGCTCCGGAGAACATCTGACTCATGTTTGAGTTGCTTTAATTTGGCTGAGTTGTTGAATTGTTCATTAGATATCTTTTTATGCTAAGTGCATGCATGTTAAAGAATATGAAGGTGTAACAATTAAAGGTAGGTATTACCTGCAATAGAGATCATAGCACTATACTGGAAAATGCTTCATCTGCTTTCCATATTGAAAGGGCAAATCCATCTTTGTTCAGGAGCTATGGAGGGTCAGCATTTACTTTCAACTTGGGGTTTGGTGCAAACGTCTAACAGGGTTATTTACAAATGGGTGAAGAGCTTTGAGAAGGCAGGTGAAGTGAACAATCTAGGCAAAAATAGCCGATTTGAATAATTCTCCAATTCAGCTCTTTTTAGTTCAGCTATGTTGTCCTAGATTGTTCACTTCTCCTGTCTTCTCCAAACTATTCACCCTTTTGTGAATAACCCTGACAATCTTGTATTCTGATCCCTTGGGAAGGGGAGACTGAGGAAATGCTTCCTCCTGCCTGCAGCAGAGTGATGACATTATCTGAGCCAAGGCACAGTCACTTCACTGGATCTCAAGGACTGGTTTTCAATGTTAAAAAGTAAAGCTTTTCTGAAAGATTCTGCTGTTGCTGTATATAGTGATATGTCACACAAAGTATCCCACTTCAACTTAATAACTGTCCTTTTACTTCTTCCATTAACTCATCCCACACAATTATTACCATTTGTATCACTTGCCTCTCCTACTAGATTGTAAGCTCTCACAAGCAGATCCCTCCTAACCCTCCCGTATTGAAATTCTATTGTAACTGTACTGTCTCCCTCCATTTTGTAAAGTGCTGTGCAAACTGTTAAGTCCTGAATATTATTATTAATAATAAGAAGAAGAAGGTCCTTGTGATGTTCATTGACCTGCTGAGACTGCAAGGTTTTCTCATCACCTGGTCCCATACTTTATTCCCCATCTGATATTAAACAACACTGCTTGTGGTAGGGGTCCCTTTGCTCTTATACTTCAAAATCATGCAAATGTGTTATACTGGATAGGAAAAGTACTGAACTATAGTCCCACTTTTCCTAACATGTTACTATTCTTGTTACTCTCTTTTCCTAGTCTGTTGTCTCAGTGAAATCAAATGGTGCACAATATCGGAGCCAGAGCTGCAAAAATGCAGCGAAATGAAAAAATACTTTACTCAGTCTCAGATTGTCCCACCTTTGTCTTGTGTGGCTGGGAATTCCTCAATGAACTGTGCCAAAATGGTAAAGGTAAGGCCTGTTATCTTTTAAAAGTGTAAAAAAAAAAAAAATGTAGTTATGTATTTATTAAACATTTTTACAGTTTTATTACAACTAGCATAAATACTGTACTGGGATTTCCCTTGATATCAGCCTGATTCATACCCCTGCACAGCTGCACTCTCACTGGCAGAAGAAGGGACAGCACTAGGAGCCAAACTGGCTCTGCTGCAGTGCCAATGTGGTGGCAGTGAACATGCTTACATGCAGCGAGAGCAGAGAGATAACTCATCAATCTGCTGCTGCTCATTCATTTACCAGTCATCAGGCTAGGTGGTTGTACCAAGCAGTGCTGCATTGGAGGGCAAGGATCTGATTGTGCTGTCTGACAGGGGTATCTGGATCCCAAAAATGGCTGCACAGAATTACAACTTTTGTAGTACTGTGCATAACATTTATTAAAGCCATATACACTATGTAGACATCGTGCTGCCCTAGACATTACAGAAAGATGAGGCCCTCTTGTACAAGCTTCACCCCTTGTGTCGTGATTATTTTTGCAAAAACACTGCTCTAATGAGCTGTATGAGGTTTGTTTTGTTGGAAATACAACAGCTTATGCTAATGCTAATTTAGTCTTTTGAGCACTAGATGGCACTGTAGTACAGTGTTGGTCTCTATGCTTTTCTATGCTTGTCTGTGATACACAGGAAGTTCTATCTGTATATAAATTGAGGGGAATTTATCAAAACTGGAGCAAACAGAATCTGGAGCAGTTGCCCGTGGCAACCAATCAGCATCTCTCTTCAGTTTGCCCAGATAAGATTTGAAAATGAGAGAGGGAAGCTGATTGGCTGCAGTGCAAATCTGCTCCAGATTTTGCCAGCTCCAGTTTTGATAAATCCCCCCATTGTGTTTTCCTCTCCACTATGCTGTATAATGCTGTATTCTGATATAATGTCCTTATAAGCAAGTAAAACTTAATTCAGCATTCCTCAAGCTCTCAGTGCTTCATCTAAACACATAACCAACATGCTTTATTTGCAAAGCTACCTTTTCTATGTTAAGACAACCAAACAACAGAAAATAGAGGTGATTTTACATTTCTATAACTGTAGCAAGTCTTCCTGATTCCTCTAAACATCCCTGATCCCCTTTTTCTCTATATAGTTTGTTTTTTCTGAATTTAGTCACAAATTCCCAGAAGTGATTCACAAGGGGGAATCAAAATAAGCAAAAAGTAACTAAAAAAACAAATAAACTTATGACTCAATGCTGCTGCCCCCTCTAACCCTGCTGTCCTAGGTTCTGGCCCACCAGTGCCATTATGGTGCATACAGCCCTGGCATGCATTACATCGTTGCATATGAACCTTAGCCTGAGTAGCATCACTGCCTAAAGCTTGTTTAAAGCCATACACTCAGCATTACCATTAAGATCTGTATTCTACAAAACCTGAACTGGAACTGAAGGGTGTTTTAAGGGCTTACTCTTTAGTCTAGCATTTGCCAGCCAATTTTAAATAATGCCTGTGTGTATGACTTTTTATTTTTCTTCATAATCTCTGTCTTACTTTAGCCAGGCTCTTCCTTTAAAGAAAACCTGTACTAAGAAAGTATGAAGTCTGCTATTGTTAACTTACCATTCTGAAAATGCTAGTTCCATGTCCGTTAAGCCAATTCAATGGACTCAGTCATTACTTTCTAAGGCACGGACCCAAAGGAAGTGTGCAGATAAGGAATTCTGACTTCAATGTGACTTGCCTAAGCTACATGTACAGCATTAAGATGCAGGAGCCACATACATCCTCAACCACTTGCCCAGGAAAGGAGTGTGCTGTATGGAGAGAGGGAAGAGCCAAGAATGGGCACAGGCAAGATGGAGGGTTGTGCATAGGGAGTCAATATGCTCAGAGAAGCCCCAGAGGAAAGACTGTAAGTGGGGCGGTATACAGAACAGGGAGGAAAGAGAGAGAGTGCGGCTGTGTTGAGAGGGAGGACCCATGTGGACACTGTGACGGACCCCCGTACTCAGGATGAGTATGTCCGCCGCTGTTTTCTTCCTTGCTGAGGAGATATTGGAACCCGCTGATCTGTAGCTCCCAGTTTCCCCAGTCACTAGCCAAGGCTTGAGTGTAGGTGAAACAAACTCTGGTTTATTGAGAAACTGCACAAACAAACTTTTATACAGCAAGTGATGAAATCAGAATATAATCCCATCACATCCACCCTCCCCTCCCAGACAATCGGTCTGCTCAACCCCACAGGTGTCCACCTGCTAACGAACTGCAGACAGCCATAGCAGGAGCCTGGCCAGAATGTCATTGTTCTGAGCTCCCTCAGAGAACAATGGGAGATAACAAGGGGTGGTGCTGATAGTCTTTCCATAACCAGGTCACACAGCATAACGCACTCAAACATAACTCAACACCAATACACATTTAACTTATAAACTGATCACCATGTCGTCACAGACACTACTGGATACAGACGTTGGTTTGGGAGGGGAGTCCCGGGGCATTGCTACCTGAGCAATGTGGAGGCGTTTAAGTAACAGATTGGCCTGTATTGCAATTGCCTTCACCCAGCCTGTTGGGTGAGTGTTTGAGAGTTTAACGGCCATCAGGAGGACCTTTACACAGCATCATTGTGGTGAGTCGCCCTTCTTAGCTGTCACTGGAATGTCATTGCTGCCAGCAGAGCTCTGCCTAAGGGACTTCATCCCTTTTTCATTCTTTGGAGCTTTGGGACACTGTAGGGAGTTTCCTTTACTTGTGGATGACAATAATCCTCGCTTGGAGGGTGAGCACTCCAGTGTGGAGTGCAAAAGGTTCCACCGCCAGTGGACTTTACTTTTACTAATTATTTCACTGTGGCCTAACACAGCAGTTTCTTTTATTTCTAAGAAACAGCATAACATAATTTAATTACCTGTTGATCCTGCCAGTAGTTCTGTTATTTTCCCATTCCCTGTAATAAGGTGACAACTCTGTTTTGCAGTGAAATCACACAGCAGTGTTGCCTTAGATGGACATGTAGTTTTTAATAGACTTTAAGTAGAGTCAAACAATTGAAAGCTTAAAGGAGAACTATGGGGTCAGGGCTTTTTCCCATACTTCTCCTAAGGGTCACAGGAGAACACAAAATAGCGTTCTCCCGTCATCGAAAGCTCAGTATACCACGAGCTACAGCTTGCGGTATACTGAGACGCCGCAGCCGGAACGGATCCCGACATTGCTGTCGAGATCCACCCAGCTGCGGGATTGACAGCTGGCTCTGCCTATCCAGAGCCAGCTGTGCCCGCCCCCTCCCCCGTCCGTTCCGCCAGTCAGCGCTGGAGGATCGGACAGTGGAGGGGGGAATCCCTGCATGGAGCCGTGAGTGACAGTCACGGCTCTCTGCAGGGATAGATGGAGAAGTGAGCAAGCGACGGTATGTGTTCGCTCACTTCCCGATCTACTGAGCCGACCTGTGACAGTTTCATTGTCACAGGTCGGCTCAGATTATGAGGCTGAGCGAAAATCACTCACCTCATAATTCTCCTCTAACTCCGGCTAACAATTTTAACCAGTTAAAATACCATTTTTGTTTTTCCTTTTGAAAAAAAAGTTTAAGCCACATGAATGCAAGCTGACAGTTGTAAGCACCCCTGTTAAAGTTAAATGAATTGTCCCAACTCCTGTAACTGAAACCTTTGCTGGATAGCAAAAAAAATGGATCTACTGGCAAAATCAACAGTTGATATAACTATGTTACCGCAGGGACTCAATGGACTATGTTACAGGAGGAAAACAAAAACTTCTGTGTTCAGACTACTGACAGAATGCGTCCTATATGTAATTGTTTTATTTTGGCAATAGTTCCTTTTTAACTTTGATATAACTCGATTCAATGATGAAAATCTGCCAATTCCTGATTGTGCTACTTAGGACACGAGGAGTTAAATAATATTCATGAATTGTAAAAATTTGTTGCAGTTTATGTGATTTTGTTTGCTTAGTACAATTCAATTCCTTTCAATCAATTACATTTTGTACTATCAAAAGATTAGCGGTTCCCTTGTAAAAGTGACATTTTAAATGCTGATATGAATAAAAATCTAAACTCAAATTGATACATTAATGTATTAGTTATGTTTTTTTCTTCTTGCCTCATTTAGGATAATTTGGCAGATGCAGTAGTTCTTGATAGTAATTTCATATATAAAGCTGGAAAACAATATAATTTAAAGCCAGTGGTGGCAGAGGTATATGATCAAGGTAGGTGTCATGCCAAGTGTGAATCTTCACGTTTAGGTCATTATTTTTTCATATATGTGTGTTGTTTTCAAGAAAAACTTCTCAATGTTAGAATGAAATAGCAAAGTGACATATTCTCTTTAAATAGATTCAGGCATACACTTGGATCACCTGGAGTTGTACGTTCACATCAACTAAGTAGTTTGCCGGGAGTATACATTTTACATTGGAAAAAAATAAAGATCCAAATAAACACCCAACAGAGCTAATCATTATTTCCCTCACAATCACTTGTCTTCTGGTGTTCTTAGACATAAGAAATGTCACTAAATCTGATCTGAGATTGTTCATGCTAAGCAATGATCATCTCCTCAACTTGGGGTACTTTATTAGGGACATTATGCACTGTGAAAACAAACTCTAAATTGGATTCCCATATTACAACCATGTTGCGGGATCATACAAAGCAACCCCGCAGCTCCATGGCCGACACCCTTTGGTTCCATATTTGTGTGTTTAGTGCTCCTACTCACTGCCCTATCCTATTGCTACAGGCCCTGAGAGTGCCACACAAATACTGACTTTTTATAAAGTCGGTATTGGATACAACTGGCAACACCCTAACGTGGCAGTGCTTGGGCACAGCGATAGGTCATTCTGGCGTGCAGGTTTGCCACATTCCCAGGAATTCAAGATGCTTCTGAAAAGCTCATGTACTGCTACAGCACAAGTGGGAACTGCAGGTACAGATTGCATCTGCATTAGGGGTATAAACAACTGCAGGGCCTGGGTCCAGGGGGCCACAGGATTGAGTGAATGTTCTTATATGTGTTAGGGCACCTTTAGGATATTTGTTTTCATAAACAAGTTCAAATCTAATTTTTTATTGTTACACTGCTATGGGTGTTGTTACAGTAGTGTACTATGATTACCAGGTATGGGCACGTCATACTATGCTGTGGTTGTTGTCAGGAAGAACTCCACTATTACAATAAATAGTTTGAAAGGCACCAAATCTTGTCATACTGGCCTCCAGAAGACTGCTGGATGGAATGTGCCTATTGGCTTGCTTATTGACAGTGGAAGAATGTCTGCTGTCGCCTGTGATATTCAGAAAGGTAAGAGCAAGTTCTTTTTCTGGCACTGCTTTGCTGCTTGTATGATTATAATGAAATGTATTCTAAAACTTGACATGTGGTGTCTATAGGAGTAGCCAGCTTCTTCTCCAAAAGTTGTGTGCCGGGAGCTAACAAAGCTTTATATCCTTCCCTGTGCGAGCTGTGCAAAGGAGATGGCACTGGTCAAAATGTGTGTCTCACCAATGGGACAGAGCTGTACCAAGATTATGATGGGGCTTTTAGGTATGTACAGATGTCATGTGGATACTGAATATTCATTGGTCAGCAGGAAAGAAGCATATCAACTAAAATTTATTTTTAAAATATTTATTTACTCTTGGTCTCAAAAAAGAATGCCTGGGTGCATGGTAACTGTTCTGTTATTGCTCCCACTGTTTACACATCTTAATCCTTGTCTTCTCTTCCAGGTGTCTGGTTGAAGGTGGAGATGTGGCTTTTGTAAAACACAGCACAGTGCATGACAATTCTGATGGCAAGTAATATTTTCCTCTAAACTAAAACCGTTTTCCTTTTTCAAACGAGTAACTAAGGAAGGATTGGGGGGGCTTTCTAGGACACAGGGAAGCCAAGGGTGGAATGCCCTAGTGCAGGAGTAGGCAATATTGGCACTCCAGCTGTTGTGGAAATACAAGTGCCCTTAGGCGTTGCAAGACTCTGATAGCCACAGGCATGACTGCCAGAGGCAGATGCATGGTGGGATTTGTTGTTCCACCACAGCTGTAGTGTCAATATGTCAATATGACTGATTATTAAAACCAGACTGTTGTTATTATTATTATTGGAAGCAGTGCTTCTCTATTTTTTTTTTTCATCCATACTGTACTGCCTTAGGCAATATAACAAGCAAAAAGGGAGAGAATGTTGAAAACGCGCAGTGCGTTCAAAGTCACCAAAGAGCCCCTGTGCCAGAAACAAATTCATACAAACACTCAATGTGTATGAGATAGATAGATAGATAGATAGATAGATAATGTACATACAGTATATACATAAGGGGGAGGAACCAGCATCTATCCAACCCCTGTCTAGTTTAAATAGGCCTCTAAGCTCCAGGCGGCACTTGTGCACCTGCATAGTCTGTACAAACACTTTGCCCTCTCCTTGTTGTGGCTTAAAATATTTTGAATTATTGAGATGTTGTTTCAAACATGTTGCCACAGGCTGCTCTATTCCTATAAGTACTGCACCATAAACAAATATACTATACAAATTTGTTAAAATAAAAATTTGGGAGCACAGAAGGATCAGAAAACCAATGATCAAGGTAAAAATATAAATAAATGTACAGCGCTAGGGGCTCAGTAGGCAGCTAATTAGATGGATCTATTCTAAAGGTGATTGGTTAATAAATAACAGTCAATATTGTATATATAAATAAATACATTATTGAATATATTATATAAATTAAAACCTAATAGTCACTAAATGAGAAATGTGCAAAGAATGCAAAAAGGTACATTACGTGCAAGATATACTTATGCAAATATTAACATGTGCAAAAATTCCATGTGCAAAAAGTTGGTATAATCATACACATGTACATAGAAAGTGAATTAATGGTCTTATAAATATATGTGCCATTAAACATAAACCTTATAATTCCACTTGTTTATATCATATCCAGAGTGATCAGTCCATAATCCATAAGTGAAACTATGAATGCATATCCAAAATGTGAAGTAATATCAAGTCCCAAAAGTGCTTGATGATCTCTCCAGAGATTGTATTTGTGCCACGCAAATGCGCTTCTGGAAGAATGGTCAAACATTCCCATAGACACACTCCTAAACCTTGTGGATGCCTTCCCAGAAGAGTTGAAGCTGTTATAGCAGCAAAGAGTGGGCCAACTCAATAGTGCACCCTAAGGACTAAGACTGTATATGCACGTGCATGTGTATTTAGCTAAAGGTTTGCTTTAAACAATTAAACTGGTTTGGGCTACTATAGCACAAATAAAAATCGGGTCCAATTTCCTTTAAAATTAACCTAAAGTCTTAGAAAATCAAACTTATTAAACTTAACTAATCACACCTATAAAATATTTCATATGCTCTCCAACCGTTACTACTGATAACTGCATTCACTGACTATCGACTTGAAGGATTGAAAATGCCTTGAAATGATCTTCTTGTGTGTATTAATGTAGGTTGATAAATGTTCTGTAGGCTTAAACTCTGCTCCATGGGCAAGGGATGTCTTATCCTCGGATTACCAGCTGCTGTGTCGGGACGGTACCCGAGCATCTGTTGGTGAGTGGAGGCGGTGCAACCTAGTCCGGGTCCCTGCTCGAGCTGTTGTGGTCAGACCTGATGTGGACTCTTCACTTATTTACAAGACTCTGCATGAAGGACAGGTAGAGAAGCATTTCATATGCCGTTTATTTCTTACGTTTTATAAACACTAGCGAAGGACATAATATACAGTAGGTCAAATAAAAACTTTAATGACTTTGTTCCATTTTTTATAAATCAATGAGTTAATTTGAAAAAATATCTATATAATTGATATTGGATGGACTTTACTAATTTTGAATAATTTTCATTGAAGATTGGATTCAGCACAGCAGAACTTTCACCATTTCTTTACATTTTGGTTTAGAAAGATATTTAAATCATTATTTTATTAACTAAAATGAATAGACAACTTCTACAGGTTTATACCAACATATTGTATCAAGTATCAAAGGATAAGAGCACTTTCAGAACAAAGTAGATTTATCCTTATTGAATGGACCTAAAGTACCGCCACCAATATGAATACTTACTATAACCTTGCAGCCCCGGCCTTCTGCCTGTCAGACAGTCCAATAGACATCTGTAAAAACCTAATACACAGGCAGAACCAACAGGAAGAAGTTTTTGCTTGCAGAATGTTAACAGAAAAGTGTAAGAAGACACAGTACTTTATGTGTGTATTATTTCCCTTGGGCATCTCTATGTATTGAACTGGTGCATCCAACAATTAAAATGGATTTACACAACAATTGTAGGCTAAATATTTTTTGTGGCAAAATTGCTCTTGCTCTGTCAGGTAGGATGGGACTGTTGATTAACAGCTATCTGCAATTCTTGCTTCAGAATCCTAATTGGATTGAGGTCTAGTTGAGTGAGCCATTACATGATATTTGGGCTCTTGCTGTGTGGTTAGGTTAATTGCCCCAAACCTTTTCCTCAGTCTCTCATCTCTTACAAACTGAATCTATTAGAAGTGCCATGCATTTGCCTTGCATGATTCATTCCTCTTGCCCCAGCCTTGACCAGTTTCCAAGTCCCTGCCATTGAAAAGCATCCACACTATGTGATTCTACCACCACCACCATGCTTCAGTGTGGGTATGATGTTCTCAGGGTGAACTCTTGTGAAGGCATTGCACCATACAGAGGGGTCTATTTATAGCAGTTAGTGGATATTGCTATCTGCTGGACACTGCACTGTTACTGTACACTATGGCCTGTATTTTACATAGCATTTATAAATTCAAGACAAGGTGTGGAGCCTGCAGTGCCTCATGGAGTTCTCTCTACCTCATGCTGCCGAGAACATTCTCTAATTGTACATTTCTTTATAACAGTGCACTGTGTTTTGTTAAGCAGTGGTATGGCCGCAAAAAAAATCGTAAAGCTGCTTTACAAATGGTGCCCATAGCGTTTTATAAGACCAAAAAATTTAATGTTGGTCTCATTAGGCCAGAGAACCTTTTTTCCACATTTTCTGTGTCTCCCAGATGCCTTTCGACAGATTTTAAATGGGATTTAAAGAGCTTATTTAGGGGTTCTGCAACAAAGGGAAGTGAATAATTGAATAAAGGCTCTTCCGTTTATAATTTGTAAATATTTTGGAAAAATATGAACAGTCTTCCATTACTGTGTTATGTAGTAATTTGTGTAGATTTGTGAAATTAAAATCCCCCCAAAAACTTTTTAAATTTGAAGTTGAATCACCATAAGATGTGTCTATGGGCAAATGCTGTACTAGAAAAGAAAGCCACCGTATATTTGTATGGTTTTATACTATGGATTTAATCTTCTTCTTCTTCTTACAGCAAAAATACAATGATTTTAGTGTTGACTTCAAGATGTTTGACTCTTCTGCCTATGGTGGTAGGAATCTAATCTTCAGAGATGCCACAACAGAACTCCGACCTATTTCTAACCAGACTTATCAAGCCTGGCTTGGTGATGAATTTCTGCAAGCAATGACAGGAATAGACTGTGATCCTGACAGTAAGGATTGTGTTGTTTCAGATAAAGCCAATGCACAGAAAGAATAACATCTTACATTTTTCATGTGCCTATGATAATCTAATGCTGTGGATGATAAAAAGTCCCTGTTAAAACAAACAAAAACAACCTAGCCTCTTATAGTTTTGGCTAGTCTTATTATTGATTTTAATTAGTTTGCTTTACTCCTAAGTTTTTTTTCTCCTTAGGTAAGTATTTGTCTATCGTCCATTGAGGGGCACAACTTGACAATAAGCAACCTAGGTTATACTGCCTACCGGAGAAATGGATACTAGGCATATAGAAAACTAAAGGCCAGCCTCCCTGAACACACCTGTTCAGTTTTCCTTGGTGTCCTTAGGAGAATGGATGTTCTTTCCCTTCTTCTATACTTTTTGTTTGAAATGGGAGAATTTTCTTTACTATCAACAGCTACTGGTAGATTCTCCATCATTAAATGAGAACTAAAGCCAAACCTTTTTTTGGCTTTAGTCCTTTTTTGGGTCAAAGCACTACATTCACTAATGTACTGGCCGGCCTTTAGTTTTCTATGTGCCTAATGTAAATATCTCCTATAGGTGGCAATAGAGCCCATACTGCTTATTGTCAATATGTGTCCCTCAATTGATTCTGAGAAAAGAATCTTATGGTGAGTACAAAAATCTTTTGGATGTTTGTGTCATATTTTTACTCTACATACTGTATGTTTTGCTCCTGTGCGAGTTTTTCTTTCTAAATCAGATATTTTTGCCTAGACTGTTCACTTCTCCTGCCTTCTCCAAACTCTTCACCCTTTTGGGAATAACCCTGTTTATCTATCATTTATATAATCTCATCATGTTAGGATCTTGTATTTGTGGCTAAAATTCTGTAGCAGTCAGCACTGGAGTGACAAAAGCATGTTTTATTTTATCCATAACGCTCAACAAATATATTTAAGTTATATTAATATATAAATCACAGAATAATAATAAAGGTACAACAAATCAAAATTAAAAGTGATTCACTGGGAAGCACACAGGGGAAATAATCTGCCTGTTTGTAAAGGTGGAACACTCCTGTTTGCTCAGTTAAGCTTTAAAAATAAAACAGAAAAATTGATTTGTTGCCATGGGCCATTCTTTCTGCTCCAGTTCTTATGAATGCCCCCCATTATGCACCAGATACTATATATATATATTTTAGAGAGAGAGAGAGGTGTAATTTAAATTAATATCTTTCAGAACTGCCAAAATCTTTACGGTGGTGCAGCATAAAGACAGAGGAGGTCTGGAAGTGTGCAGATATGGCCATGGCATTTAAAAACAAGACTCTGTACCCATCAATCCAATGCGTCTCTGCTGAAAATCATGAAGAATGCATGAGAATGATTCAGGTCAGTATGCTATATATCTGTGCATACAGTATATGTAAGGTTTTCAGTTGTTATATACATAAACATTGGTTTAGATGCCACCATAACAAGCTGCCTAAGCCCATTGGGAGTCAGGTGTATGGTGGCTTTTCATGAACCTCCTCTGCGGTTTTATTGAGGGAACTGGGTGTACAATCAGCACTGCCTACTACCTGTCCATATACTTGGAGCATGTGCAGTCTCTGAATGTTCTTCAGAGCTGTACCAGATACTATAACTACTGAGCCTATTTTAATAAAAACATGGAGGGAAATGTTGTCATGGAACCATCGCGCTCCACCTTTAATAAAACATTAGTATAATCTGTAAAGGTCATATGTTCCTTCTGTTTTCTGTTCAGCAAAAAAACATTGATGCAGTAACATTAGACGGAGGTGATATCTACACAGCCGGGAAGATGTATGGGCTAGTGCCAGCGGCTGCAGAGAGTTATTCTGGTAAGTGTTTAATCGAGAATGACAGGATTTATATTTGTAAACATACCCTGTGGAAAGTCTGTCTCTGAGCTGCATATCAATGGATTGATTTCTAAATATTTATTTATAAAGAAATGTCCATCTTGTTCTGACTAGGACTAGGAACTTCTTTATTGGAAACTTTTCCAAAGTAATTGTCTATATCACTAATTCATGTGTTGTATCCAGTATAAAGAATAAAGTGCCATGTTTACATTAAGTCTCTATCTTTTAAACCACCGGCTCATAAGATTCTTTAGAAGAATACTTTCTTTTAGCAGCAGAAATATTAAACTGATTTCGTATGCTCCTCAGATTCTAGTGGCCATAATGTAGTAGAGTCCAAATGTTACCTTCACCCTTAAAATAAAATATACTAAGTACATACATTTTTGCCTCTATTCGCACAGAGCGAACTTTCACAGAGGTTCACAGGGTGAATGGCTCTGCAAATTGTTTATAATTAGACCGCTTATTACATAGGGATCGCTCTATGCTCGTCTTAAAACCTTAAAGAAGTCTCTGGACTGCTTAAAGCTGAACTCCAGCTATATATCTATGTTTTTACACTTATTTGCCTGCCAAAATATTTTGCTTCTGCCACATATCTAGAGGGTGACATGGCTCTTCAAAATGTGCAGCTGTGCAGCTTCCTGTGTCACTTCCCTGCCACCATCCTGCCCATTGGACTGTGAATAAACATCACAACACTGCCTTCTCCTTCTGTAAGCCTGCTTAAATAGCTCCCCTAGAGTCTAGGGCCTGAAACATGTTAAGATTACAGCAGTGTACAGTGCATGCTCCCATAATTGTACTTGCACACTCTGAGTCAAGCCCGGTTCTTGCATGCACAAGGAGATTCTGGGATGTTAACATAAATATATATTTTAAGTAATTCAGTTAGTAGTACTCAAAATACAATTAGCCTCATTGACACAGCCGTCCAGGGCTTTACACCGCAGAGATCAGCGTATTTCTATGGCAGGTATAGCCAGTGATTTCCCATTACTTTCTGTCTAAGTGACAATGGTCACAGAACAAATACTAAGGGTAAAGAAAGTATTTGCATACTGTTCTATGAGTGGCGGATAGTAATATCTCCTGGGATATGTGACAACATACACTTTAAATCCCTAGAAATTCTGGTGTCCTTGTCTTTACAATAGCTTTGAAGTTGAGTTGACTTTCTGGCACTCCTGCAATGCTTTCCAGATAGGAGATTAGAGTTTCATTGATGGATTTTTCTTACTCCCCACCTACTCTTTAAAGGGCAGAAATAAAAATCACAGAACCTAGCAAGCAATAATTGTTCTCCTCTTTGTTTTTCTAGTAAATGAGACATCTAATAACTACTATGTAGTGGCTGTCGTCCGTAAGAACCCTTATAATGCCTTCACAATTCATGAGCTGAAGGGGAAAAAATCTTGCCATACAGAGTACATGGACACAGCTGGATGGAATGTCCCTATAGGAATCCTGAAAAGGCATGGTCTAATCAGACCAGAGGGTTGTAATATTGCCAAAGGTAAGTGATACTAGAACTCACCATTAAGTTAGCTGCATGGGTAGCACAATGTTCTGTATTTTTTTTATATGCTGTTAGAAAGTGCAAAGAGTTCATTGTTTTCAAGCAGAGACAGACTGGTGGACAGAGTACTTTGGTTTACCTCCAGACGTTGCTGTCGTACACCAGCCCACTGCCCTTCCTTTTTGTCAGTTATCTGTTGATCTACGTATCCCAGTTTGTGATGCAGAAAAGACATTTCTGAAATATACCCACTGCATGCACCTTGCTATATCTCCTATGCAGAAATGAAAAATGTCAGTTGTTTATACCAGCCACCAATTGAGTTCATCATTTCCTTGAAAGCTTGACTTGAACTAGTGATTTGGGAAGCCGAGAGCAAGATAAGCAGCACAAGCTTGAGGAGAATACTTTAAGTGACCACCAGGTACTCTCTGGGATCATGATGCAGTAAGTTACACAGAAGGCAGATTTAGTGAACTTTCTGATCTTAGCAGAGTTGTGGTGTTTGCTACATAGCATTAGTAGGAAGGGGTTTAAAGCCCTGGGTCTTGGCCTCTGGGCAAAAGCTGGTGGGGAAGTGTGACTGTTGGCATGGGCTGTCTAAAACAGTGGTGGTTCAACAATTTTAGAGCTGGTTTACACTATCTGCATTCGGGCTGTGCTGGACGTTTATTCCAGTGCAGCCCGAATGCAAGACAAGGCAAATTGCCTTGTCATGGATGGGCTAGGTTCTCACCACCACGTTCTGGTTGTGTGTGCGCTTAAAAAAAAGTACAGCATGTGAGACACAGTACAACTGCATTGCACTGCCACGAACCCATAGAACTGAATGAAATGTCACTGCAGCTCAATCGATCACATTGGCACTGTTCGGGGACATGCAGACCAGCAGCCGTGCGGTTGACCATGGCTGCTGGTGTAAACATATCTTTATAGTGTGTTCACAGTTTAGAGAATATTCTTCTCACTAAGACGTCAGATGTTGCAGAGGCCTAACAGGAAAAGAGAACAATGACTTCCTCTCTCTGGCAGGAACTGTTGAGAGAGTAAAGTATTTATGGTCTGAGCGAAGGACTTTAGACACATTAAACACAGAACAGAACCACCAATGCTATGAGGTCTAAATGAGCGGATTTGGCCACACCAGTGATGTCCAGTGGAGTCCATTCTAGGTGAGGCATTTCCCCCTGCCCGCCCACCCTGCTCCCCAACCTGGTCACCGAGCTATGTGTGGAAGAGGGAGGGGAGAAGGGAGGGGAGAAGGGAGGAGACAGGGAGGACCCTCCCTGTTCCTCGCTTGTCACTGGTGAGACATCGAGATCGATGTCCTCAGTGTTTTTTTTTATTGGACAGCTTGGACCAATGGTGCTTTGCCATTGGCCCAAACCATCCACAGAGCTGAAGCCTCTAACATAGAGTAGAGGCTGTTGTAGCTCTGGCCTCACTATGTTAGGTTACATAAGCAGTGTGAAAGCCCACTGCTGTGTAACCTCACATAGCTGTCAAAAGCCAGATGCAGCGCCGCCTGTAATTAACAGGCAGCGCTCCATTTAGGGCTGCAACAACTAATCGACATAATCGATTATAATCGATTATTGAAAAAGTTGTCAACTTTTTCAATAATCGATTAATCGGCTTCCAATCAGTTGGCCCTGTTCACGGCTCCACACACGCTGTGCGCTGCACCTCCTCATCACCTCACGCTCGTCGCTGCCAGACCCGCCCGCATCCACGCTCTTCACACAGCACCTCCTCCCCGCCTTACACTCACTGCCCGCCCACATCCACGATCGGCACAGGGACGAGGGGAGATGTAGTAAGGGGGAGCAGGTGTGGGGGGATGACAGCCACCAATAGACAGGTCCAATCTCAGAAGCAAGTTGCTGGAAGACTGCTCAGCTAAGCCTGCACTTTCCCACACATGGTGCTCTATAAACTATTGCTGGGATTTGTAGTCCTCTATAGTCGGTGCCATTCTGCATTCATTGCTGTATAATTTTACACTTTCCTTTTCACTATATTGCACACCACACTATTTTTTTTCTTTTTTAACTTCCACAGCTCCAAGCTTGCTCCTGTGATGGAGTCCCATTTCAATACAAACTAGTAGTCCATCACTGGAGCCATTTTTAAAAATGTATTTTATTGTTTATCCGATTAACCGATTAATCGAACTTAATAATCGGCTAACTAATCGATTTTGAAAATAATCGTTAGCTGCAGCTCTAGCTCCATTCATGACGGGTTACACAGCGAGGAGACTTTTCATGCTGTGTAACCTGTTACAAGCCGCTCTGAATGGAGAAAAAGCTGTCACACGTCCCTGGGCCACACCTTATAAAGAACCACTGAGCCAACTATGCCGTAGCTATATATACATACATTTATGCACCAGCTTTGTTGAATGGAACAAAAGGTTTTGGTATGTACAATTCAACTTGTGTTTCCAAAGCTGTAAATATAAAAAAAACACTAAATGTAAGAGGGAGCATGAGCACAAATGCTAGACACATGAAGGTTACCAGAGCAAAAACTCCTAGATGCTACAAGGCTATAAGCAAAAAATGGCTAGATGCCAGGGAATGTAAGCATAAAACCCACTACACACCTGGGAGCTACAAGCACAAAAATCAAGAGGGTAAAGCAGCATGCCACCCAAAACTAGGGAGATGGAGAAGTCTTCTTGCCAGCTAATAGGGACATAAGCATTAACATGTAAACAGAGTCTTAATGTTACAAATTTGGACAAAAGAAGGACAAAAAAACCCCACCAACATGACTATAAACTGGGCACAGTGGCTTAGTTGTTAGTACTTATGCCTTGCAGCACTGGGGTCCCCAGTTCAAATCCTGTTCAGGACACTGCAAGGAGTTGTGCTTGCGTGGATTTCTTCTGGGTACTTCAGTTTCATTCTTCACTCCAAAGACATGTTGGTAGGGGTATTGGCTTCTATCTAAATCATGCATGCATGTGAGATAGGGACCTCAGGTTGTAAGCTCCTTGATGCAAGGACTAATATTGTGCACTATGTAAAGTCTTGCATATTTTAAATTGGCGGTGCTATACCTGTGACAAATAAATAATACATTATTGCAATAAGTGATGCTTACGTCTTCTTGTTAGACAGATCCACATGATCCTGGTGAGCATATTACATGGTGTATATTATTCAGTGTGATAATTATTGGAGGAAATGTACACTGGCTGTGAGTGCTCACTGATTACTTTCAATTATTACTTAGAATTGGTCTTTAAGTTCATTTCTTCCACATGCATATCTAAAAAAACATTAAAAAGACTACAGGTTTCCTTTAGTAAAGATAACCTGAAAAGTGCAATAAATAATGTTTACATTTTACAGATTTAGGGGAAATGTGCTTACCCTTTTTTATTGTATATTTATATATACCCCTTTATGAGTATTAGATATTCATTCATTACATTTTTAAAATAAATCAATGGGAAACTCCAAAAACATCTGTAGAAGTTCATGGGAGGGTTTCGGGTATGGTCCCATGGCTCTTAGTTACATGTCTCTTTATAGACAATAAATCACTTTAAAATGATGAGAACACATATATGTGTTTGAATAGTATGAATATTTACTGTTTCTGTTGCTAGCAATAAAATATTCACATCAAGATGCTTTGGCTGCGTTGGCCCTTGTTGATGTTGAAATCTCAATTCAACTGTGTACTTGTGTTATGAAAATAGTTCTCTTTATGGTATTTGTATCGACTGCTCCTCACTGTCAAGCTAAACTTTCTTTGAATTTTGAAAATTAATAAAAATGATTGAACTAAAAATGACTGACAAACAGTGAGGACATAGTACCAGTAGCAATTCATAGCGCTTCTATGTGCCACATCATTCTCACCACACTTAATACAGACATTAGTATAAAAACAAGAACACCTTTTTCTTTTTTTTTTTTACTGTTATGTGTTTTTTTGGGAGCATCAGTGGTTTCCACCAGTCCAGATGCATATTAGTCCTTTTATATGGCAAGTTCAGCTGAGCAGAGCTGTCATGGCAGCTTCTTTCCCCTTTATATAGAACACAAATAGTAGAGGGAGGTGAATACAAATGTAATAATAGCACGAAGGTGACAAATCTCTTTGCTTTCCTCAATAGCTGTAAGTGACTTCTTCACAGAAAGTTGTGTACCGGGCATGAAGCAAAAGCAGTTTCCAAGCAATCTCTGCCAGCTCTGTATAGGTGATAAAGATGGTGGAAACAAGTGTGAAAACAAGGCTGAGGAACGATACTATGGCCATACAGGAGCATTCAGGTAGCATCCGCACAACTTCTGTCTTCTTTATATAATGATTGTGGAGAAAAACTGTCATTGATGTCCAATGCATTGACATGTCATATTGTACGGAATGTAGTACAAGCTAGTATGATGTAGGCATGCAAAAAGACTTTGGCTGCGAATAAACATTATTATAGTGAATGTACTAAAAAGGGAAATACATTACTTACAGTGAATTCTACAGTTTTAAGGATAAACTACACACTTGTTAAAGTTTAAGTAAGCCCTCTCGACTAAAATACACCCAAAAAATGCTAAGCATGCTAAATTGCTATTTATTATTGTTTTTTAAGTCTCAAGTCCCTAAGTAGCCATTTCCAATTAGTGCAACTGTGTGATAGATGTGGATGCACAGGTCATACCGATCATGTGTTCAGGCTACCCAAGACTACTGTACATGTTCCAGGTTGCCTTCAGCTGAGAGCTGTGAGCTGTGAGAGCACATGCTTGCATTCCAGCATGATGCTGTGTTCCAACCCTCCCTGAGTGTTCATCTATCAAGCAGGATGGGGTGGTGCAGGAGGGTTGAGGAGGGGCTGGTGACATTTTTATGTGCATTGACAATGTGGAGATTATGGAGACACTGGGATTTATTTATAAATCTTTCACCCAGCCGAATGGTGGGAGAATGAGGTTCGCACAGCATTCCTGCCACTAGATCAGTGGTTCTCAACCTGTGGGTCGCGACCCAAAAGTGGGTCGCAACCCACAGTTGAGGGGGTCCCCATGTGCCTTGTGCTGCTCTAGGTAAGAGGCTCCTCAGCCTCCTCCTAGCATGGCAGTGTCAGTTCTCCTAGATGGCGCTGCAGCATCAGCGACCGGAGAGGATCAGAGAGAGGGGAGCAGGCAGGAGTGAGGGGAGGTAAGTGCTTGGGCACCACAGAGCCCGCACTGGGCACCACAGAGAGTCCCACTAGCCACCTGGGAGCCCGCATAGGCTCCCGAGAGCCCACACAGATACTAGTATTGGTGCATCCCTAAATTTTATGGTTGGGGGTCACCACAACATGGCAAATGTTACCAAGGGGTCCCAGACCTAGAAAGGTTGAGAACCACTGCACTAGATGGAAATTTCTATGCTGCTCGGCTCCATCTAGTGGCGGGAATGCAGCCTGAACAGCATTTGGCCAGTGCTTGGCTAGGCTGAAGATTTATAAATAGACCTTTATGTGTTCATATTGGGCATGACAGACTGACAACGCTGCTGCTAATTGCATCCCAGTAGCTCAGTGTTATCCGCCTGTTATGAGAAGCACTTAAGGCATGATGACAGGGTCTCAAGGTAATCATTTAAAAAAGAAAACAAATTTAAACAAATTGGAAAAGCTGAAAATGTTGACAGTAATGCATTAAATCTACAAGTTGATTTTGGAATTAGGGTTTACATACACTTGGTATAAAAGGTGGTATAATTTCTAGACATGTGCACCAGCAAAAAATTTGTTTAGTTTAGTTTCGTTTTGATTCAGATTTTCGTTATTTCGTTTTTCGGATTCAGGTCCGCAATTGAATTCATTGCGGAATTCGGATTCGGACGAAATTCGTTAGCGGTAGTGCGGTCGAAATTTTGTTTATTGGACAAAATTTCTTTAGCAGCAAAGTGACATTAGAGAAAAAAAATGTTTTTTTTTTTTACACAGTCTGCAGAAGATAAAAAAAACAAAAAACGTGAGGTTCCCCCCCCCAATTCATACCAGACCCTTTGGGTCTGGTAGGAATGTTAGGAGGGACCCTCCCCCAAGTTAAAACAAAAAAAAAGTGCGTGGGGTTCCCCCCCAAAATCCGTATCAGACCCTTTAGGTCTGGTAGGACTTTTAAGGGGGAACCCCAGCCTCAAAAATGGGGGGAAAACAGATGGGCGGAGCGAGCCGTGACGTCATGGCTCTCTCCGCCCATTTGACATTCTCAGCCGTCAAATACTACATAGCATTCGGAAACTCCCGAGTGCTATTTGTGAGTTTCCGATTCGGGTCTGTGAGCCGAGGTGTCATATGAAAAGCATTCGTCCGAATTTCGATTCGTTTGTATTCGTTTTAACTGTAATTCGGAATTCGGATGCATCCAAGTCTCCGAATTTCCAAAAATTCGTCCGAATTATACAATAACATGGTATGTCAAATTTTGCAAACTTAAAGAGGTCTTTTTATAAAGCAGTAAATGTTACTTACCAAATTTCTCTGGTAGTGAATCAATCACTGTAATTTAAAACGTATGCATCTGGAAGATTCTCTGGCAGTGAATGGCTTCTGAATGTCAGATTCACTGCTTTATAAATATGCCCCAAAGTGTTTATTTATATCCACTGATACATATATTTTGCTGTAGAACTCGATATTGGTAGAAAGTTGACAAGAACTGTGCCTGAAAGCGGCACCAAAAAATGATTTCCATCGGGATACATGTTTGCAAGTCTGCTGTTCAATCTAGCTTTTACAGACTCTAGTAGCTCTAATTCAATAAAGATTTTTTATTATTAGGTGCACATTCATAAGTCCACCAACACAGCAACCAGAATTTACTGTTGATGATGGAACATTGCAAGATGGATTCTCATTGGTCACATTAATAGGGGTCTGCATTTGCATTTAAAGGAGGCACAGGAAATGGGCACACTGAGGTAGTGAGGTAAAAACAAAAATTCAGTAAGACTGGTTTAGCCGTTGTTCACATGTCTGTGATCCCACATTGCATGAGATTGCATGTTGCAATGTTAGGTGCACTCCAGTGCCGTTATTTCTTAATGGCACCTCAATGCACCTAGCCATTGCATGTGCTTTGCATTGCACTAAATCGTATAGTATTCTTTTACCATGCATTGTGGACCAATGTGACTTTAAAAATAGGTGCATGTACTTCTTTGGGTGTGATTTAGCTGTAAAAGACAGGCCATTCAGCACAGCGTGCAGCACACCAATGAGGTCACATCGTAGGTGTGTGAACGAGGGGCTTAGTATGCACATTTATAAGTTTACCTACAACTGATAAACAGAGTACGTAGAACTACTCACATGTTTCATATGGAACACAGCATGATAATTTCAGATGTGGGCTACTAGGTTCCAAAGATCTGACAATCCAAACTAGGCGACAACCACCTGAGGTCAATATGGTTGAAGGCAGCCAAAGCATTTCAGGTGTGAGCCCCTTTCCTCAGAGCTAGTATTGACTTAAACCATGGTAAGTATACATAGAAAAATAAGATTTTTGGACCCTAGTGGCCTATGGAATATGTGAGGAGTTCTATGTTTTGTGTCTGATACCTTTTTAATAAACATTACCACACCAGGAGTAGGTTCTGTTTTCTTTACATGTACTATGAGAAAATTTCCCATTTGCTTTCAAGGCGGCTGCCTCCACGACTGAATTGAGAACCAAATATTTGTGGATTGGGGATTCATGGCGGCACACATGGTGCTGAGATTCAAACTGTTTCTACTGTACCTACAATGTAAAACCGTGACCATGTGTTAAATACATTTCTTTTATTTTATTTTTCTTGTGTAATCTTTTCAAATGTATATTTTTATTCCAGTCACATTTGGCAAACCTTATTCATGCTAATGGTTTATTATGAATCTAGCATATTTATTTATGCTTTTGTATAAAATAGAAAGTATATATTTAGCTGGCTTTTCTTATCACAATTTCAGAACACACTGGAGGAAACATCTTCGTTTTTTGTTGGTTTTCATATATCTTAATACATAAAATTGGCCGAATTTACACAAAGCCATAGACTTTATACATACAAATGACACTTGGTTGTCAATGTAAAAAGAGCCACTGTATAATTGTACTGTGTAGGTTATATTCACAAATGTATGGTTTTATTTAGTATGCTGTGTTGGAAATTCACTAGCATATACTGTAATTATGTCTTTTGAGCACTAGATGGTGCTGTGGTGCAATGATAATCTATGGTAGTCATTGTGTGCATACTTGTCTATGATATATATACAGGAAGTTCTATATATATGCTGTAAATGCTGTATTCTGATGTAATGTCCTTATAAGCATGTAAAGCCTAATTTGGCATTCATTGCAAAACATTGCTTATTGCACCGTTGGTGTCTTTTCTAGCAAAGAACATTTTCCATAAGGATGAATGGTAACGCATGTAAAAGAGGTGTAAAACATGTCTAAAGTGGTCCACACTACATTGCATAAAGCATCAATGTACATGAATAGGACAACTACATACACATACAACCATTTCAGTCATTCAAACATGTAGCCCTGGTGCATGACAGTATATACTTCATAACAAGCTAAGCATAATGATTTTTTGTAGATTCTCGCAGCTCTCAATCAAAAATTGACAATATTTTTCTTGTGTATTGCTGCAGATGTTTGACAGAAAAAGGAGATGTGGCATTTGTGAAACACACAACCGTTTTTGAGAATTCCGATGGTATTTATCTCTGTCTGTATTTCTTATCTTTTACAAATTACAAAGCGATTGAAGGAAACTTGTCAGATGTCATATCGGTGGTATGTCTGGAAAATGAGGATCAATGTCTGCTGCTGGGATGCTTCATTTATGTCAATTTGCCATCCTATGAGCTGGCAAATGTAATTTCCACCGATCACGGTTGCATTAATTATTCAATTAAACTGCTTCTTTCAGCACATCTGATTCAATAGTATTAGGCAATAATAGCCATAATGCAATTACACCAAAAATACAAATAAAGATGATAAAATAACAAGGAAAATAAGCTTAACCCTATAAGTACCCTTTCGCTGCCAAAGCTTTTTTCGTTTTTTGCACACGTTATAATCCACATTTTAGGACTGAAAATTACTTCAGACCCCCAAACATGATATATTTTCTGAAAGCCAGTTGCAAATTTTTTATGTTGCACGATATTAGCGCAACTTTTTATCAAACCTAAACATTTAGTGAAAAATGCAGTTAAATGCAGTTAAATTTAGTGCCCGAAAACACAATATAATAACCATCATAAAAGATGAGGTTACAACGAGTAAATAGATACTCAACATGCTAAGGTTAAAATTTGTGCGTGTCCGTCAAACGCTGACAAAATTCAGTACCCCAAAAAGTCTGTAGACAACACTTTAAAAGCCCCTACAGGTCATCAGTTTAGAGATACATGTAAATATTGTCCATAGAATTATTGCTCTCTCCGGCGTGTGTTGTGATACCCAAGATGTGTAGCGTGATCGTCGTTTTCGTACTTAGGCGCACCAGACGCATGTTTATACGCGTGAGTTTCAAAACTTTTAAAAATAATTTTTACATTTATTTTATTTAATATTTTTGAAAACATTTTTTTTCCACTGTACTTTAATTGCTATCACACAGGGGGGCTTAAAAGTCTGCTATGTTATAGCATATTGGTGGTGACACTAGGGGTCCAAAAGACCCCTAGTGTCACCTTTCCACTTTAAATAGGCTATTGAAGTGCAGTTGCACTTCAATAGTGTATTGCACAGCTTCAGGAGCCCAGCAATGAGGGCTATGGGAATGGAAGTGATGTAATGTGCATCTGCATAGAGCAGGGGGGAGATTGGGGAACGGAAGTTCGCCGCTCTCCTCCCCACCTTCCCGCTGGCACCCGACATGCTGGTCCGGGCCCGCAGGAGGATCTGGGGAGTCTGAAAAACACGGCGGGGGGCACTTTACCAGCCTGTGGGAGTGATCTGGTGGCACCTGAGCCACCAGAATCATTCTATTGTAAAGCCGACAGCTGGCTTTACAATTGTAAACAGCAGAGTCCCCATGTTTTTGGGCACACTGCCAATGACGTATTATGTGCGTCACTGATCGCGAAGGGGTTTAAAGACTAGGTCCACCCAGGACAGCTGTTTATAGCTAACCCAAATGTCCTGACTCCACCTCTTACAATAACCCTTATTATCTCACTTGGTTTCAGAAACAATAAACTTGTTCCACAATCAATTTTACATTAACTCCTAAGGATAGTTAAGTGAGAATGGAAGTGTCCTGAATCCTCATTCAGTCTCAGTCTAGTCATGAACTTTACAGCATGATTAAATGCGTTATTGGCCATACAAGTCCATGCCGATGTAAAGTGGGTGTGAGAGGAGCAAAGAAGGAGGAGGATGCTGCCAGCAGAAGTTTATTCAAGGGGAATATCAGTCCTAACAGATTTTTTTCCTGAAGATTTCTGCACGCACCCATAAACAGTGGCTGGATCATGTGACACTCATCTCTATGGGTACCTTAAGAGTCGAATGCTCATTGCATAGAGGCTCAGTAATGAATCTACTGCAAGCAATATTTACATTCAATGCTTTTAGATGCAATGATTTAATGCCTGTCTACAGTCTGCATTTTACTTTATTAAATACAGGCTTTAGTTCACATGGAATGCAGGCGACACATTTTATTGACTTGCATATAAAGTAGCATCACATGAGATGTGCTTTGTTTAAACTGTATGTGCAGGCATTACTCACATATATCCTCTACCCACCCCCTAGTTTTCCTCCTCCTAGCTTTTATTACTCCCTGTGATATTATCACCAGGCTTGTAAAAATGTTGCTGGGGCAGCTACAGGGAGCTCATTTCCTGTTGACACAGGCACACCCCCAGAACTTCACCTCTTGAGAGTCAAGGCAACAGCAATTTGCTGGGAAAGAAATCAATGTATGGGAAAAGGGCTAATGTGGAGAGGGAAAGAGAGGGGCAGGGGATTGGTGGTATTTTCTTATTTGGAATGTTTGTTAATGGGTAAAGAACCATAGAAGAAGATAAAAGGCAAACAGGGAGTAGTGAGTAGAATATGTTCAAAAAGTAATGAACCTACCTATTTCTTTTCATTTTATTTATTATTTGAGCTACTGGGTACTCAATTCCTATTGACATGGGAACACCCCCAGAACGTCACCTCCGAAGAGCCCTTTGCCTAAACAGATTGTGTGGGCAGGTTCTTGAGAGTCAATGTTTTGCTGAGGAAAAAAAATCAATGGGCGGGCAAAGCTGGTTGGGATTTCAGGGCAGCAGAAGCACCATGTTGTCAGACTAAACAGGACGTTAGGAGCACACATAATTGCTGGCAGTTTGTAATGGATAAAATATGGGAAATTGTTTTACAGAGATATACTAAACATGTTTTTTTGTTGCCTTGACATATACTTTAACAATAGAGGTGGGTGTAGACTATGGCAGACATACACATCCATCTAACAGCATCAAGACAGAGCAGGGTAAAGCATCTGTAAAATGTATATCTGTAAGTTTGTGGGCAGTAGGCCAAATGAGATAATGGCCATGGTGCTAGGTGGAATCAATATGTTTGGAAAGGAGATCTCCTTCGTCAATAATAGCTGCTTTATTAAATTGATATATATTAAATTGATATATATATTTTACATTACATTAAATATCCAGATGAAAGCCAGCAATGTAAAAGGAGGTATTAGCCCACTTTTTTACAACTGTATTCTGTTTGCTGAACTTGTTTGTTGAGGTATAAATGATTGATATTGCATGGATAATCTGAAAATGATACAGACTAACTGCAATCTAATATACTTTCAGTAAGCTATAAGAACAGAGGTGCAATAAATACTATGGTGGGGAAATAGTCTAAGCAAATACTGTGCCTAAGCACATTGTGACGAGTACAGATTTACTAGAAACAGAATGAACTGTTATTCCCCTAGCACAGGAAGCTGTACTGTATAGTTACACCTAATCAGAATAAAGATAGATAAAGTACCTTGCAAAGATGGCTTATTCCCGTGTGCTTAAGGCAGTAAATGTTTAAAAGTAAAGGTCCTTTTTTAAGAACAGATACCATAGAGTGCCGAGAGAGATTGATCAACCTTTGGAATGGTTTACCACATGAACCAATAAATGGCAAAATCAGTAATGACATGAAAAAAAAAGCTAAAGAAATTGTTTGCATTCCAATTAGTGGAATTTATAAAAGTTACATTCACTAAAGTTAATATGACAATATTTGAATGTGACTGCCATTGCTGGGTCAGAAAGAATGTTTGTCTCTTCTGGTGTGACAAATTGGTAACAGATGCTCAAGGGGTTTCCCTTTGTGCTCTTTAGGACCCAAACTGCAGGAATTTATGAGAAGCAGAACCTGATGGACATAAATAGTTTCCAGCCCTATCAATTATGTTACTAATATACGTTGTATGTCAATATGAATTTAAATTCTCTTCCAGTGTTAAGAGTAATATAAAATTATGATGCATGGCATGATTGATTTTATTTATTTTTAGGAAAAAATCAAGATGACTGGGCAAAGAATTTAAAATCTAGTGATTTCCAGTTGCTATGTCCTAATGGTGCCAGGGCAGAGGTGACTCAGTATGAAGACTGTAACTGGGCACATGTCCCTGCTCAAGCAGTTATGGTTCATCCAGATACTAATAGACATGCATTGTTTGGCTTGTTGGATAAAGCTCAGGTATGTTCTTCATTATAACTTTGGACAGGAATTAATTTTAGATGGAGATCATCTAGTTACTAATTAATGGCCAGGCACACAGACACAAGTGAAAGTCATTTACAAAACCTCCCTTGTGTTGATTAGCATGGTAAATATAAAGTGAGAACAGATGATGTTGCAGTCCTGTTCAGATGTACTGCTGTACAAATTCCCCCATGGCACACCAATAAAGTTTAGTGTCTATGTAAGCATATTCATATGGTATGATGCTATGTCCATTATATTCCCTCTCTAAAAATCGTTGCCTCCATACCATCAGTAAGTTCCTTTTCACATTTCCTCTTTTTGTTTCTGTATTAGGAAAGTACTACTTTGTGTCTCTTTTTATGCCTAAAACCATGCATAATGTTAGAATACAACTTGACGTATGGTTCAGAATACATATATTCATTTTAAACCCTTGTTTTTAGATGTGTGTTATCCCTGCAATAAAATATTTGTGAAATAATACTCAAACCGTGTAATATCAAATGCCAAAACAGTCCATCCAAGGCCTGGGTGTGGCAACACTGTAAAGGGAAACCGTGTACATGTTATATATATATATATGTGTGTTTTGTTTCCCTCTGTTGAGATTATTTTTACTTATGACCATTTTCTATTACAATACTCATTTTTAATAAATGGACAACAAAATATCAATACAGGTATATACCTTGGGCCCACCAGGAAAGTCTCACCAACAGATGTGGCAGAAATTAAGTCTAGATTACAGACTGCAGGTTCACATTCTGTAGATTAATATTCCCCAGTATGGTGCCCCTGTGCTAAAAACCTTAAAGAAGGGCATAATTATTCTTATCCCTTGCACTGGGGCTACCCGACACTACAAAGGTTAAATGCTTCTTTTTGTCTGGGGACAAAAATAAAAAAGCTATACTCACCTGAACCTTGAAACTGGCTCTCTGTTAGTCCGGTCCCTGTCGCCTGTCTTCTCCTCTGCGCCAGTGATGGAATGTCACTCGACATCCTCACATCCAATACACTGTATAGGATGTGATGACTCACAGGACCTTAAAGGGAGAGAGGCTGCAAGGATCAGGTGAGTATAACTTTTGTATTTTAGTGTGTAGCCCCACTGCAAGAGTTAGGAATAATTTATTTATTATAGGTATTTATATAGCTCCGACAATTTACGCAGCACCTTACATTGACATTCAAGGTGCACATTCACATCAGTCCCTGCCCTCAAGGAGCTTATAATCTAAGGGCCCTATCTCACATGCATATATATGAGGGCCAATTTAGACATGAGCTAATTAAGTCTTTGGAGTTGGGAGGAAACCGGAGTACCTGGAGGAAACTCACGCAAGCACAGGGAGAACATGCAAACTCTTATTGCAGATGGTGACCTGGCCAGGACCACAAACCAGAGACCCCCAGTACTGCAGGGCAGAAGTGCTAACCACTACGTCACTGTGCTGCTCAGAGATCTTCTTTAAGTTGTGTTTTATTATATAAATAGAAGCGTGCACTGCTGACCGCTGCTGCTCTACACAATACTATACAGTGAGTTAACAAATTAATTGGTTTAAAACTGGTAATTGTAAAATAACTAAAAAGGCATTTAAATTATTTTTGTCTATTTGTGAGCTTATAAATAATAAACATGAGCAGGGTATATTCTAAAACAATGTATCAAAAAAACAACATGAATACTATTTAGTAATTGAGTTAGTTATACATTAAGCAACACATAGCGATCCTACTAAATTTGGTCTAAGCATCGAGTTTCCATTGCTTCTTCGACATGAACTCAAATAAAGTGGGCCCATTGTAGTAATAAACAGTAATAATCTGAGAAAGGAATAGGAAAGATAGTTATTTTACTCGATTCTTCCCATAATGATTGAGCACCATTTGGAAAATGTAAGTATTCACCACTGGGCTAATGCAAAAATCTGAATAGTCATTGTCAAAATATATTGCAGGCTTACGTAGCAAAACGTTGTTATAACTCCCTAGTTTAAGTTGGAGTGTTCAGCTGGAGGTGTTACTGGCTTGTAAACTCAATCATTTCATGTTGATAATAGTTTGAGAATGCACAAGCCTCAAATAACACAGCCCATTAATCCTGTATGTATTTCACCCCAATCACACCGCTCACTTGAAAGTGAATGAAAATAAAATACGAGAACAAATAAACCAAACATAAACACACAGTGTGTAAGAAAAGATTCCTTGAATATATCAAACAACAAATTTCATTTATCTTATATTTATTTATATTCAGGGACTCTTTTTGTTACACCGTGCAATTTGTTTGTTACTATACAAACAGAATAGGATATTACAATGTTGGGTGTGAGGGAGATGCCTGTGGCAAATCAAGATCATCCAAAATGGTTTACAACCTTCACACCTCAAAACAACAAGAATTGTTATTCTTATTATTTCGAGGAATTGTTATTCTATGTGTAAGGTAATTGAATACCTTACACATTTTTTCTTGATACGATAACATTATTTCCAGAGATACAAATGCTCATTTTAATTTTGTGCATTGCTGTGGAGGCTGTGTACATTTCTGGTCCATTGCAACCCATTACAATCAGAAATGAAAATCTGTATGCACACAGCCAGTGGTGTAGCTATAAACAATTAAGCAGGGCTCGATTTATAAAACTTGTTCTTCTTTTAATGTGTTGTCTATTATTTATAGTCTCTCTTTTTACTCTGCAGGAATATTATGGGAGGGACAGTAGCTCTGAATTTAAAATGTTTGATTCTTCATATTATAATCAAAAAGATTTGATCTTCAAGGACTCTACAGATAAAATTGTTCCAGTCCAAGAAAAGAAAACATATGATGAGTGGCTAGGTAGAAATTATATTGAATCTGTAGAGGGTCTTCAGTGTTCATCCAGTAATGGTAAGAAATGCCAATGTATGTAATTCCTCTGTTCATATACAGCATTATCTAGGAGGCATATCGGACGATACCATACAATTACTTACAGCTAGAATATACAGTGATTTTCCATTGGTTCTATAATGGCTTGATTAAAGGGCATATTTATAAAATAGTTAAGTTAACATTCACCAAACATTCACAGGTGGTTAATCATACCCTGTAATTTAAAGCACATGAACCAGGAAGATTCACCACATTTGGTGAATGCGACATTCACTGTCCCATAGTGTTAACATATCACAGAAATGCAATATGTAAAAATTAGGTGATGTCATGGGGGGAATTTATCAAAACTGGAGCAGAGAGAATCTGGAGCAGTTGCCCATGGCAACCAATCAGCCTCTCTCTACAGTTTTCTCAGGTGAGATTTGAAAATGAGAGAGAGATGCTGATTGGCTGGAGTGCAAATCTGCTCCAGTTTTTGTCTGCTCCACTTTTGATAAATTCCCCCGTGAGTCAATTTTAGGTATCAGTAGTGGTTCCAGTAGTTCGTAAGTAATCCAGAGTTTACCTTAAGTCGCCTGAACCAAATGCACGCATACTTAAGAAGTCTGTGCAAATTGTCACATACCTTGTAGAACTCCTCGGTATCTGAGAGAGTGCTAGCATGCAAATAGTGACATAAGTTCCTTATTACTGTGCTTGATCCTGAGTCTACCTTTTAATTATACCAAATCACTTTAAAATGAAAATTCTAAAAATGAAACTAATTTTGTTTTATCTTTTTTCCAACAGCGTTAACTACATTGAACATTGCCTTACTGCTAATTAGCACTATCCTACTGATTTCGTTTTCTGCATAACTACCAACTGCTAAGTCATCAAGATGTCCTTGGAAAAGTGATGTAAACATGTAAAAGTTTTGTTTCTTTTCACTGAAGACTAGAAAGCCTCTACGTAATGAATGTACCTTCAGTGTTTATTCAGTGCCTGAGGACTTGCAAACTCCTTGACCTTACTCCAGTGTCAATAGCCCATGATCTCAGTGTTCCTCTGTCTTTTAAAGAAGAACAAGTCAGAACTCCCTATTTATTTTCAGAATTGTATATACACATTTTGCAGAAGGAAGATATACGTTTACATATATTACATATTTCTTTATTGTTTTCTAAATATCTAAGTATTTTGGATATAAATAATGTGTAGACAAGCCTAACCCATCTGCTGTTCACTTTAAACCTTCAAAGATTAGGCAAATGTTTAACCAATATGGGGTTAGAATGTCATGCACATTGTAAAATGGTGGGCTGTAATTTGTTCACACCAAATTCTCTGATCTATATATTATTGGGATTATGGACTGATTCATAGGCCCAGCACTGAACATGGAAACGTCTTCAAGTGTATGTTATGGCAGGAAAAAAAAATGCAGCACAACTCTGCCATACATGCACATCCCCCCTTGTCTTATCTTTTTAGAGACAGTGCATGTACAGAAAAACACCTGTTGGTCTGCCAAACATGCACTTGGCTTCTGTGGACTGGTGCTGCATGTCTTTTTCTAGATCGAAATGGCAAGGAATAGTGTCAGCCCTGGCCAGCTTTCTGTTGTTAAACTACTGAATCCCTCCCATTCTTTTCATCTCCACAACATAGAGATTCATTGTTCTGTAATCCAAGATAAGAACTGGGATTACTCCTTGACACAAGAAGTGTACATAGGACAGGTCTTAATCTCGGATGCAATCAACAGGTATATTTTTGCACTTATTGCTAGATATAACAAAAACACTCTCAATGGTTATTAGCAAATCAAAAGAAGGCAAATACGAGAAGCTCCTTTTCAGGGTTTACATACACTTCACCTATCACTCCATCTTCCTCATAGGTATCATCTGAAAGGAAATTAAGAAAACCTTTTTTTTTTATTGTCCACACACTGGATACTCCATCTACTGGACCTCACTGCTGGCTGCCAGATTTACTGTATATTAAATATGCCAACAATTAGGGACACAGATCAATTAAAAAGGTTGCACCCTGCAGAGCCACATATTGGCTTTTTCTGAATGGATTGCTCATTCATCACATTCATCTTGGGATCATTTAGAACCACTTCTGGTATTTTTGTCCTATGCATTCTGAAACTACAGTTTTCTTTGCAATTACCCAGCAGTATTTTAGAATATATAAGCAACTTTCATTATTGGTTCACTTTGCTTATCAGTTATACTTATGATTCGTATTATTATATGTATAGTTCTAATACTGTCCTGTTAATTGTTAGACAAGAAAATTGTCAAAATAATCCACGGTACAACATTTGACCATGGGTTTAAGAAATGTATGAACACATCTATATTTCACCTTTCCTAAGATTGTAATACAAAAATGAGCAATAAATGATGATGGTAAAGTAGTTTGGCTTTGTTGATTTTACTTTGTAGAATGCTTTCCAACTGCTGTATACAATATTCAGTATCTAGAAACAAAATGAGGCAATTCATGCTTACAATCAGTGCCAGGACATGGTCCTTTGGCAACCAACACCCACTGAGCTGATATGGATCACGCTTGCACATTCTGTGTTTGATTAAAAGCAATATGTTGGATTAATGTCTTTCATAATAATATAACGGCAAAGAAGTCCAACACTATTCCTTCCCTTTAGTTTATTCCCTGAACTAAAGCTGGCCATACATTATGCAAATGTTGACTGGTTCTTCAGCCAAAATTCGCACAGTGGGTGCGGCACCCTTCTGGACAGCATCCCTTCATCAGATGATCGAAGGAGCCGGTCTGAAAATATTCAAACAAAGCCGGCTGCCAATGAGCCTGCGGATTAAGCTACAAAAAAAACAGTGTATGGCCAGCTTTACACTTTCCTTCAAGAAATGTTTTGCTCACATATTGCAGACTGAAAAGGCCCACCCCCAACCACCGCATCCTCTTTGCTCTTTTTGGACCTTGACTAATGCCAATCTTTTCAAACAAGCACACCTGAGTGGACTCTAAGACCTCACTCCTTAACTATAAATGCTGCACTGTGATGAGACAATGGGGCATGCGGCATCATTTGGCAAGATTCCTGTCACCATTTACTTCCCACTGAGGAAACAGCGGTATGATACTGTACTGTACTCTTAAGACTAAAGATGCAGCTTCACGGTAGAGTTTGGATTAGTGAAGTCAAACTGTTGCAGTCATACTTCCAGGGATAATGTTTACACAATACTTATTCTTCGGGTGGTCATAAGGGGTAGCTGTCCTCGCAGCCAAACATGCATGAATACAAAAGAGAATGGGAACATCAGCAAATAGTTCCAGGATTTAGGGTCTAGGCCAGTGATGGCGAACCTTTTTGAACCCGAGTGCCCAAACTGCGACGCAAAATCAATTTATTTACCTCAAAGTGCCAGCGCTGAAAATAAGTTTAGTACTGTATTGCAGTTCGGGCGCTCGGGTTTAAGAAATGTTCAACATCACTGCCCTAGGCCCCATTCACACCAAGCGACATACCTTACAAGCAGGGCCAGGATAGCGCAACTGTTTGGGGCGATGTTCCAGCGACGATCGCACGACCTTCACTGTCGGGCTGCATTCAAAAATAGAAACTTTGCGCGACATCCGCGGGAAAAAGGGTCCTGCTGAAGCGACGGGCGACATGGAGCTGTACAGTCAGTTGATTTAGATGGTTAAGTAAGTACCCTTATATTTAATTCCCTCCCTAGCTGTATTGTCATCCACTGTAGTTCTGGTGTATGCAGAATATAAGACTCACAGTCCAGGAGAGGTATCCGCTCTGGCAATTGCTAAGTTCAGTACTGAGCTAAATCTATATATCAATGATCTAAGTGTAGGTTGGGATTCAATAGACAATTTTAAGCCTCTGGGTTCAAATTAAACTTTAATGTAAAGCTGGAAAAGAATGCAAGAGAGTCTTATAATGGATACCTTCCTCAGAGATTATTATTCCGCAGGGCCATAAAGTAAAGGAAGAATCCCTAAGGGAACCAAGTTTGATGGGAACTTGCCCATCAGAGAGTGGTTTCTGAGTTATTGATCTCATTACCTTCAGGAGAAAGTGTCTTCTAGAGATACTCATTCTTTTGGCTTTACTATTACATTTTCTCATCTTAACACACACTGACAGTTGTAGCAGAAAAAGTAAGTACTGATATGGAAATCAATATAACAATAGGCCATAGCAGAATATTTAGAAGGGCAGTACCTTTAGGACTAAACTCAAATACATTTTCCCACCAGGAAACTTAGACATCCTCTCCATGGATCCCAATACTTGGGATTAGCAATCGGGTTGTCTAACCCTGGAATAATATTTTTAAAACTAAACCATGTCAATTAGGCAAATGGCCAACAATCCTCAATAATTGCATTTATAAAATGGTCACGCAAAAAGGTTCATATTGACTTGGGGGACTAATAAACCATGTCAATCAAAGATAGTGACTCTCAACAATATGGACACGTGTTCCCCTCATAACTTGCAAAATTAAGACCTGTTTGGACATTCCTTTTTGTGAATGTTTATACTTAATATTGCTTGTGTACTTGGCAGTAAGAATTGTATCTGTTTTTCGTACAACACGTAAGTGTAGTGAGCTGAACTACAATTTAAACCTGACACAATCTTTTCTTTTAGCAAATAACTTAATGGGTGTGTGTCTTTAGCGTATGTACGACATTTTGAAATTTTTTTTTTCAAAGTATGGAAATGATGAAACATCTATCTCTTAAGGATCATTGGATACGTTCAAGCAGAACATAATTATATCTCTTACATTGTCTCTCTTCCCTTTAATTGAGAATAATGTAAACAATATGCTGTACTTTGTTGTGTACCTCTCTTCTATGGAATCCTCAGGATACACTTTATTTTTATGAACTTTTACCAAAAATGTTTTTGTCATATTCATAAGGTTTATGCTAATAGGTAAACAACAGATATTAAAGGAGAACTATGAGGTGAGTGCTTTTCACTCACCTCATAGTTCTAGCCGACCTGTGACAATGAGACTGTCACAGGTCGGCTGAGTAGATCGGGAAGTGAGCGAACACATACCGGCGTTCGCTCACTTCTCGATCCTGTCACGACCCTCTGCCCTGCCATGTGTAACGGCCGCAGGGGATCCGGATAACGGCGTCTGGGTTCCACCCTGGAACGCGGCGCCGGAAGGAGACTCCAGGCCGGTCACGGCCCTCTGCCGCGGCGCCGGTCACGGCCCTCTGCCGTGTGTAACGGCCGCAGGGGGATCCGGATGACAGCATCTGCGCTCCACCCTGGTCAGCTGAGCGCTATTTAAACGCAGTTGGGAGACTGACACGGCGTTCCACAATTGCGGATTAGCGCCCTGCAGCCTCCCGACGACTCTACCTACAAGTGCCTCGCCCGGACAGCCTACACAGCGGTATACTGAACCGCCTGGGACCTGCTCTCCAACGCCAGGACTCCTCCATCAGCGACACCTGCCTAACCAGGAACCAAACAGCAGGGATCCGAATCTTCACTGCCAGCAGCCCTCCTGATCCGGGACCTGTCCTCCTAACCGCAAGTACCCTACTGAGGGATTACGCAATATACCATACTACCATCCTAATTGACTTTTTGCAAACCAGTGACTGCTTGCATACTAGTTGCTATTAGTAGCGCGTGTTATATTTGCAGGAGCAATATATATTATATCAATTGCTATACCTTCATTAACATTACGTTCTATAGTTTGGGGCCTATGAATTAATAGTCCACCCTTAACCAATACCAAGAGAAACATACTGCAGATGATGCTGAAACCCCTAACTCTCCATCCAGTCTGAGAGTGAAGCCAGGGGTTAAGCCTGAGTAGCCGTTTCTCCTCCTTGTATCGCTGGTTAAGTGCTATACTGTCCTACCGCAGCTGAGATCCAAAACCTAGAGGCTTAGGAGGTGCGTGACACTGTGACAGGGGAGGGGCTGGATTCCCCCCTCCGATCCTCCAGCGCTGACTGGCGGAACGGACGGGGGAGGGGGCGGGTACAGCTGGCTCTGCCTCTAGATAGACAGAGCCAGCTGTCACTCACGCAGCTGGGCGAATCCAGAAATAATTGTCAGGATCCGCTTCAGCTGCGGCGTCTCAGTGCTGCTCGCGGTATACTGTGGCGCCTCAGTATACCGCGAGTTGTAGCTCGCGGTATACTGAGCTTAGAGTGACGGGGGGACGCTAGTTTATGTCCTCCCGTTACCCTAAGGAGAACTATTGGGAAAAGCCCTGACCCCATAGTTCTCCTTTAAGGG